CTACATCATATTGCTGAKATTCAAGCATTTTCTATCTTACTGGAGCACTCAGATAATTATCTCAATAAAGAAATTGGACAGAATATGATTCGAATTTTAGTCCAAAGTGTATCACGAGACGTAATGGAATCTGAAACTAGGAAAAGCGTGTCCCTACTCATTCGCCGAATACTCTACATTCATGGTCAAGCGAAGAGTTTGCGTGGAATTGTCCCATGTTCACAGAGCACATACTTTAGATCCATCACATCTCTRACGAAGATATCAAGTCGATTGAAAAGACAATCAGGCGATGACTTCATTTCGGTAGGAACGAGCRTGACTGAACTCACAATTTATGCATACGAAAATCTCGTGAAGTCTGAACATTTCAATCATCAGCGTGATGCTTGGTCGCTTTTTGCACTATTGGGTGATTTTCTCACAAATCAACTAGAAGAGGGTGGCGGTGAAGAAGTCCAGTTAGGTTTCTTCTTGCATGTGCTGAATGGAATTGTACTACAAYCTTCGCTAAAGAGCATTAGGTCCCAAGCACTTGCGCTGATACACAAGACACTAAAAGTATCTCTTCAAGTGACGGAGTCCGAGTTGGGTTCGGAAGTAGCCTTGCTAATCAATGAAATCGTAAGCGTTTGCTTTCACATTCACGAGGAAAGTCAGAGAAACATTTTGCAGATGGTTCATCATAAGCGAAAGAGTCGTCAAATTACTTTGCGAAAAAGCTGTGGTTTTCAGTTCCACTTTCAATCTGATTGGAACAAACAAACTCATCAACAAATAAGTGAATGTCAACTTGAGGTATTAAATGCAGAAGKKTCGGCGACCGGAGTGGACCATTCCTGTTTGGTAAATACATACGATATAATCCATTGGATTATAGACAGCAGAGAACAACTAAGGCTAGATTTTTATGTCTTTTTGGGACTTTGTGGTACATCCGAAGTCAACCATTCTGATTTGAATGTGTTAGGCAAGATTGATGAAAGATACACTGCCCAAAAGCTTGMCCAAGGGCTTCGTACATGTAGAAGCGACAGATCTTTACACGAATACGTCTCCGCTTTGCAACGTCGAACACCGAGATCACATTTTCTCCTGAAAGAAAGGACTTTTARTAGTAATTCGAGCCTGATTTCTGAAGCACGCGCCAACATTGATGATCGGTTGGTAGGCGCGGAACTGTCACAGATAGCAATATTTCTTGGAGWAACCGATCTCGAAGAAGTGGAGATTCCCGATTTGAATTTTCTATACAACTATCTTTGTTACGCTTGCACGGCATCGAGTTCCAGAAAAGTGAGATTTGAATCAAGTCGATGCATAGCATTGCTAGAACCACGTGCCGTGATTGATGCTCCTGATTTCAATGAYAGAAACCTTTTACCGTCGGGTTTAWGCAGCGACAGTTTTCTGCTGACTTTGAGGGCAAAATCAATTGATTGTTTGGCACGATGCTTGAAGTCGCCGRTAAAAGGTGTCGCAATGACATCATTGAATACACTTGAAGCTATACTTTTAGACGTTRCGAGTAGAAAAGCAAGTGGCATGATTTCTGTACAAAGCAGATCTTTAATAAAGCCTTTTCTATCCAACGAACGGTGTGTCAGAGAACATCATGACAACGTTCTTTCAGATGAGCAGGTTGGACTTCTGATGAAAAGGATAGGCCTGGTCAATGTTGACAATACAGAAATGTGGTGCTGGGAGAAAAAGCTTTGGACGCTTGACACTATCTCAGAATTTGATTATGAAACTTGGATATGTCATGTGACCTGTGCCATTATCGTATGCTGTTTTGGTTCTGATGGGAAGAAKAGCTCCAGCGGGAGTCGCATGGAATATTCTGAGGGGTGTTTCTTCCGGAATAGTCAGAGAATTGCTCTTTTAGATCATGCTTTTGCGTCTGMTATTTTCCCTTCTCTCATTTTGTCACTCTTGTTGGACGAAAAAAAGAATCCGAACAGGCTGAATAACTTGATCACGCAATCATTTGAGTTGCTACTTTTAAGTGGAATTTCTTCTCAGCTTAAAACCGTTACTACGACAAAGAGAAAMATTAAATCCAAAGCCATTTCAATCGTAGTTGATACCCTGGATGTGATAAGAAGATTTTCGCAAGAAGAATTTTTRTCGCTCGACCACAAACCGAACAGAAAGAAAATGAGACGAAAAAATGGAAAGAAAGGCAATGGACACAATGATGAATCAGAGCCGTTTGTGCCATGGCAAGGATTACCTTTTGGTGTRATTTTGCATCTTGATGGCATCGTCGTAGCAGAGGCATGTATGGAAATCCAACGATATGCCTCGGCGCTCTTCTTTCTCGATATGTTCTTCAACTCACAGTACGGAAAGTCAGGTGGTCTATTTGAGGAACTCAATGACTCGGCATCCTGCGTGGATGTTGTAGGAAAATTCAGCGGTGTTTCATTTATATGTGGAGAGAAATTCATCTTAAAGCACCAGAATCCAGATGACAAGGATCTGAGAGAGATGACAACGAAAGCAATGTCTTTAACTGGTGAATGCTACAAAGAACTGGGTGAATTTGACTTGATGCGTGCTGCACATATGCAGTTGTCTTCTCTGAAGTTCATGGACAATTCTAATAATCCGATTCTTGACCTTGATAGGCTGAGATGCYCTTCATCTTTGGACAATCTGCAGATGCTGAGTTTCCAATCGAGCCAGATGAGTGCACGGGATAACAGATTCTTTTTATCTATGGCAGAATCTATGGAAGATCTGGGGTTGGATGGATTTTTAAGTACGTACATCGAAGGCATTTTAGTCGATAATAAGCACCTTCTAGAGACGGCTGATATGGAAAGTCTCAGAGAGAAGTGGTTTGAGAGTAACCTGAAGACCCAAAACTGGAACRTTACAACTTGCGGAATATTCAGTAACAAAAATCTTGGCTCAACTTTGTCGGCCCCTTCAGAAATCCTTTCAAATAATACCCGTTCTTTAAACCAAGGTTTCTTTGAACTGCTTTCAGGGGCTTTGAATTCWTTTTCAAACCATGATACTGTCAGTTCGATGAGATTTTTGAACCAAGCWCGCTCCCATGCCATTCATTCTCTTTCGAATATAGCAGGAGAACAGCTATCGACCACGAGATTCATAGAAAGCATTGATAAATTTCGTGCTTTGAAAGACATCGACAATTTAGTTGAAGTAAATTTTGATTTCTCGAGATTCGACTTTGACTCAGTGGAATTTTTAGACGTTTCATTGAGAGTGCGGCAGATCACTCTGACTGCATTTTTTTCAAAGCATCCAGAACACCCGAAAATCCTACCACTTCTCAAAGATCATCTCTGGGAAAGTTGCGATGCTGCCGTTCGTAGAAGCCGTCCACATATTGCTGAAAGTGCGCTATCAGAACTTCGATATTTGTTGAGACGTTCGATCGAAAATAATATATCTCACGTGGACTCCTTCGAGGAGATTCTGCGAATAAGGCTTGAAGAAGCAAAAATAATGGAATGCCGTGGCGATTTTAACAGTGCTATTCAAAAGACGAAACAGTTAATTCGCCACCTTCGTGATGATGAACGTTCAAGCAAATTTCATAAGCGTCTTCTTACTGACGCTCAAATTCTCTGCGGTTCGTGGATGACAAAATATAAAACACAACAGGCTAAGGTAATTCTGGATAGCTACCTAAATCCTGCCGCGAATAGAGCTAAAGCTATCTTCGACGAAGATAAAACCAAAGCAAATGCCAGCAGGGCAGCAAGAGTTTCGATAAAACTTGGTCATGTAGTTGCAAACTTGYATGATGACTTGTTGTTGCGCATCCAGAGTAGCGAGTGGAAAGAGACAGATGCAAGGCTTCTTCGACAACGTAAACAGTACTTGGATTCGGYAGAATGCCGCCACGAATTAATGGCTACACTCAAGCGATACAGAAATAGCACATCTCAGTCCTCAAAGCTTCGATACGTGGAGGCAAATCGACAACTTGCAGAGATGGAGAAAATAAAGAAGGAGTTCCAAGAAATGAGTAAGGAACGAGAAGGAATTAAAGATTTGATTCCATATTACCTAAATCGTGCTCTCGAGTCTTTCTTGTTGGCCCTTGCAATGGCAGGTACAAGTAGTAACGACTTATCTAGTCATGTATCTCGCATGATTTCGCTCTGGTTTTCATCCCAAAATGAAATTGGGGATGGTGAAAAAACCAATGGTATAATGCAAGACGGCTTGTGTCGAGTTCCATCATTTCGATTTGTGGTACTGACAAATCAATTATTTTCTCGGATCGATTATTCTGAAGTCGAGAGTGATCAATRTTTCCAAGACGCACTACAGCACCTTGTTTTTAGGATGTGCCGCGATCACCCATACCACTGCATTGCTCCACTTATCGCATTGACAAATGGGGAAGTGRATACGAAGATATATGGTGCCAAATCTATTATTAAGAGGCTTGATAAATGCGGTGTACGATATGTAAGGAGTTTAGTCGAAAGCTACTCTGTTCTTACATCTGCTTATCATGATCTTGCTATTGCGTCAACAAAAAAATTCGAAGAAGGAAGTCAAAGAAGAAAACAGAAAATAAGATTTTCAGAAATCTTTCGATCCTCCACAACGAAATCACTTGATCGCTGCTTGAAAAGACTATCATGCGCGCCTTCTATAATCACTTCCCCACCCATCCTTCGACCTGGGAAGGATTACGGAGACGGTAAAGAAGATCCAATCGGAGGCGAAAGGATAGCCAGATTTGACTCTGATTTTGCTATTACAGAGTCAGGGAAAAATAGACCCAAGATAGTAATGTGCGTTGGTTCTCGAGGTGGAGCTTTCCGTCAACTCGTTAAGGGCGAAGACGACATCAGACAGGATGCCATCATGAGTCAAGTTTTTTCTTACGTTAATAATTTGATGAAAAAGAGAACAAATACATCTGAAGACTCTACCGGCTCGAAATCTGTGACACGACGCACTCGTCATAAATTAAAGATGATAACGTACAACATCCTACCTTTAAGTCCATCTAGCGGGGTAAGTGAAACCAGCAGGAGATACTTTTTGGGTTTTGAGAAACTCACGTCAATTTTATGAAACGTCACAGGTTTTAGAATGGGTGGAAGGGACTCAACCAATAACAACTTTCCTGAACGACCAATTTGGGCGAGTGGGATCACATTCAAGATACTTTCCAGATGAATGGAGTGGTGATCAATGTCGTTTCACCCTACAGAAATGCTCAAAGAATACGGACGAGAAAAGAAMAGTTTTTGACGAGATTTGTGCTCGATACTCTCCATCGTTTCGTTTTTTTTTTCTTGAGCGTTTTGGRAATTGTATGGAGTCATGGCATACTGCGAAGATGAATTTTACTCGGTCGGTCGCTGTCAATAGTATCGTGGGGCATACGCTTGGAATTGGCGACCGTCATTTGGGAAACATACTTATTGATCAAGCAACAGGGGAAGTTGTGCACATCGATTTCGGATTCGTTTTCGAGCAAGGAAAGGTGAGAGTACAAGGGTTTCTGAAGGGGTTTTTTTTTCGCTTCTCACATTTTAAAACTCTCTTTCTATAGCTTCTACCGATACCTGAGTGCATCCCCTTTCGCTTGACCCGAAATATTGTGGATGGAATGGGCCCTTGTGGAGTCGAAGGGCTCTTTGTTAATGTTGCCGAGCAAACTATGCTAGTACTACGAAAGCATGACCAAGAATTGCTTGCAATTTTGTCCGCAGTTGTTGCCGACCCCATGTACAAATGGAGTGTAAACTCTTCAACAGCTCGACGACGACAAGCTATTGAGGAGAAAGCGGGCATTCATAGTACGGACGAGAGAGGCGACAATTCATTAGATATCCGGGATTCACAGAGTAGTACAACTAAAACAATGAACAAAATAAAAGAAAAGCTGCAAGGGTATGAAGATTCGACATCTGGTGAGCAGCAAGGTGTTGAAGGTCAAGTTCAATTTTTAATTAACTCTGCTCGTGATCCAAATAACCTGTGCAATTTATTCCCTGGTTGGGCTCCATGGGATTGATCCGGAGTTGGTTCTGAAAAATGATACTGTGCAGAATTCTTCAATAAGTAACGACAATTGTAGCATGAGYTTTCAACATTTGCAACTGAGTTGGATGTATCAATTTCAGCAGAATTGGACCAGGTACAGTCAGTCCCATCAGTTATATTCTACTAAATTCCAGATTCTCCCATCCATGTTTGTTGAGTGGTGACAGGTAGACCAGAGTTTATTATAGTACTGCGCAATTCAAAACAATTGAATACAGTTATGTCTGAATAATTATTAGTCAATACTAAAGAGGTCTTAGGTGTGAGCTATACTGTCCCTGTTTTTCATCCCATTATTTGAAAAACAATACTCACAAGAGGGTTAAGCATAAATGCACCCATTCAGTCATCCTTCTTCTTGTAGTATTTCCCAGACAGGACTGGTGAAGAACAGTAGAATTTGCATTACTAGTAGTACTACACAGAACTTTAAATGCAAAATCTTCACTTTGAATTGAAGTTAACAACCAAACATTRTTGCTGCATTCAATTGTTTTCTACTGGTACAGTGGTAAGACAATACATGCACACACCAAAAAAGACAAGTACTGSATGAACAAGCAAAGCTACCTACTTGACTTCAGGTTTCATAACAATTGAATAGAGCAACTCTGGTACACAAAAAGTTTTAATTTGAAGTTATAAGCTACAGAGCTGTTTTTTTATGAGTGAATGGTTCAAGGTCATTCAATCATGAATCTGGCCTTTCAATCATGAATACCATTGAAACTAGTACTAGCTCTGTAGAACTTAGGACAATGTATGCAAAAGTTCTTAACTTCAAATTGGAGTTTACGTCTTCAAAATAAAACTTTTTGCTTACCACTGTTAGTACTACCATGTTCAKTTGTTATGAAACATGTAGTAGTAATATTATATCATACAATACACCTAAGAAATGGCTGAGGTTTTGGAAGTAGTACATGAGCATACTGGCGGTCGCATTGATTATCACTAGTACTAGTACTATAATGAGGACAACATCACCTAGCTACTAATACTTAGCAACAGTGGTGGTACTAGTACTAGTAGCAGCACCAGTGCTATCCTATTACAACTAGGTAGGTACTACTACTAGTACTACTATGAGGATGGCAACAACAAATTTCCGCCATAATGTACAAGAAAGTGTTCTGGACCTCTTCCAACCTTGTGAGAGACAAATTTTGAGAATACACACCATTAGAACAAATTAATGGGTCTAGTAGTAGGTAGTGCTGGTGGTAGTAACTACTAGCTACTTAAAGTTTGGATAGTTTTACTAGTATTACTACTATGTAGTAAAAATGAGATGAAAAAAAGCATCAGAGCTACATTTTTCTTATTTGTAGTACCAAGGATGATGGAACATTAATTTCAATGTGATGTGCACCCCTCTACAGTATGATCCCTGGCATGACATTTGTTCTAGTTGATACAGAAAAGTTCCTTGCTGGAGCAACCTAAAGAAAAGAAAAAGGAAAATGACAGTGTAACACCCAATGGTAGTGAATTATTGATGCTGGCAGCTGCTGGGCTCAACAATGGTGCACCAGTACAAAGTTCTAGTACTCCTGCACCAGGGGAAAATGACAATTATGGTACATAGTACCTACTACTACTACTACTACTAGATGATGGTGGAGGAATAATAGTACAACATGAGTGATACAAGTGGTTGGTCAAAGGAGGAAAAGAAGCAATGATAAAACAAAAAGTCATTTGAATGAACAGAAAAGGAAACAAAGCAGCAAATTGTGAGGACCACCAGCAGGAAGTTCAGTGAATGCTGTGACACCTTTCTTAGTTATTGTCTCAGCTCACTACTACTAATAGTGGTACTACTACCTATTAGCTCTGTTACCATGTGTACTAAACTAGTAGTAGCAGAAAGGGGCTTGGCGCAAAAAGCAAATTTCTGATCATCAAGACAACAACTGTAAWGAGGAATTTGTTTGTTGGTGACAGGAATAGTAAGTCATTAACAAGTCATTGTAGATAAAGCAGTGACAAAAATAGATGACTAGCAGTTTGAGAATAACAAGCTTCTAGAGTTTCATTGCATATTTCTTGAAAGAACAAAAACTGCTAGCAGTACAGCAACACCAGGTTGTGCTGGAGGAGGAGGAATCATTGCAACACAGCAGCAATACTGCTCAGCAGCAGTGTTTTGTTGCTTGCAAGAGAGTAGCAATTGGATTGGTATGCAAACCTATGGTGACACAAATAGAAGTAACTCAATATCATTATTGATTCTAGTAGTACTTCTACTACTAGTAGAAATAATATTAGTACTACTACCAGTACTACTCCAATGTCCAAAAGAGAGTTCTGGACCTCTTCCAACCAAGAATATGCACCTTTAGAAAAATTAAATGCCTCTGCACAACTAAATTTATAAAAATACAGCATACAATTAAGGGGCATCTAATTTCAGAAAGTTTCTGTCCTTTAGGTCAACTGAATTCCCAAAATGTCTGATTTGACCAATTGGAATGAAGATTATTCGTCCATCTACCCCTTTTAAGGTTAGGGATATGCATAGGGAAATTGTTTCTGATCCTTGTTCCTATCARGCTGTTGCTTCATCTTTACAGAACCCTCCTGTACTTAATCTGCAATCATTTCTTCCGTACACCAAAAAAAAATGTTGTGTCAAAACTAACTTCTGTTCAGTTGTTGTTGATATTCCTCTATTTGTTTACTCCCTCCATTGTTACTGTGCCTTGTAGCTACTACTGTCATGTCTCCTGCAATCAGAGCCCCTATTGTACTCTACTGTTGTGGGCGTTGGGAACTAGAAGGGAAGAAATCTAAGTTCAAAGGCTATAAATCTCAATCAACTGCTCATATTGYAGTCAAATATGTTGCAGCAGGATTAAAAAGACATATCTCACACAATTCAGAATGCTATTTTGTCTACAAATTCCAAAACCCCATTAAAGGAAGGGACATCATTTTTTCTACTTCAATTAGAGAGCAAACATCTATTCCTCCAGTTCASYGTTCTCCAACTGWTCTTGGTCTGACAATGGTTACAAACAGACCAAGTCTGCTGTCCCATTTCACCAATCCTAATTATGGACCAAGGCCTTCTTGAGCAAGTAACCTTCACTCCATACTCAACAGACAGATCATCCAAAAYGTGTTTGATCCAGCAATGGAAAGAAATCTTATTGGWTCCCACATGRCTGCCTATGTTCAAGACAACAATGACTTTGGTGGCAATGGAGTTGATACAGAGGGTATTTATGCTGTGGTGTGCCAATTTGAGAATGTCCCAAGACCTACTGCATCTGATTTTGTATCTTGCAGTAGACTGATCAACAGGCTTTTTCTATTTCATACTGATATAATTCAATCAGAACTTGCAGTAGTCCCAGAGATAGGYCCTGATGGCAGCAATGATGGTTCTGATGGGTTGGTCATATCAAKTTGTTCTGCTGGATGGCTTGATTATTTCTATAAAGAAAAGAATGCTGGCATTCCTACCTTATCTTCTCTGTACAATGCATGCACACTCCAAGATCAAATAGAGGAGGAGCCCATTGATGAAGSTTCAGATGAAGAAGCAGGAGAACAAGATCTCATATCAGAACCAGCAGAGGATGAGTAGGTAGAAGGAATCTAGCGTGAATGCTATTTGTAGTACCACTACTAACAAAATACTTTATTACACTAGTACTGCAATTATTTGTCATCAAATTTGTTCTCCAGACTGCCCACTTTTTGCCCTTACCCTTACCTGTTCTATGAAAAGAATCATAATGGCAGCAGTCAAAATTTAAAATGGTGGCAAATTAAACTAAGCAAAATATTAAATAAAGGAAAATTAAATC